GTTCTTACTGTTATTTTTGTTCTTTGGTTAGTGACTTTTGTGAACTAACTCAGTGAAGTCAGTATTCTTTGTATTGTGTGGCCACTGACATTTCTGCTATTAGCTTAGTGGCCAACTAATGATTGAACAGAGATTTCCTTAAATGTCTAGAACTGTGAGATTCTCAGTCTTTGTTTAGGGGCTGTGTGTGTATTGGGGTAGGCTACTTCAGAACTGGGGAGGGAAGATGGGAATAGAGCAATTTAAAATGCCATATAGTTTGTTCTTTTCACTAAAATTTAGCCAATATTTTTAAAGACACTTCCTGGAAAGCATTTGGTTAATACCATAGTTCTTTTACTTAATGGAGTGACATCCCCAAACCAAAAAAAAAAAAAAAAAAAACCCTAAAATTAAAGTAAAAAATTCACATTTTACCTATATCGTTATTAACAGAGTTAAATTTGAAGAAAATCCATCGGATTTCTGAAGCATATTTTCCTGACTGTCCTCCTGAGTTGGTCTTTGCTCACTCTTTCTTAATTTTAAAACATCAGTTCCTATCTGTACAGACTGAAAGTTTTCAAAACAATCAAGACCTGGTTTCTTTTTGTTGAATAGTCCTTCTATTAGTATATTTCTCTCTTCTCCCATTTTACTATAATTAGTAAGAAGAAACTCAACACTTCACTTAGAAATTTCCCTAGATAGAGCACCCAATTCATTAGGCTAATTTTTGTTTTCCAGGTCACTACGGACAACAGTGTTATAAAACTTCCTGACACTACATAAGTATTTTTTTCCTCCACTTTCCAATAACATTTACCTCATTTTCCTACAAATCCTCACCCTGCATCCTTATCAAAGACCAAAAGGCTTTTATTAATCTGCTTCTTCAGAGGACTTCAGGCTTACATTAACACTCTCCTCAAAGCTTACTGCCTGGTTGTAAAGCCACACCTACATACTAGGTTTTTATTCCAGTAGCATCTCCCTAATGTGTACCAAAGTCTGTATTATTTATTTATTACTACTTGACAAATTATCCCCTAAATTAAGCAATTTAAAACAACAAACACTTACTATCTCACATTTTCTCTGAACCAGGAATCTGAGAGTGACTCAGCCGGATGTTTCTGGCTCAGTTTCTCACTTGTCTGAAGTCAAGCAGTCAGCTAGGGTTGCAGTCATTTGGGATTCGGTTGATCTAGAGCATCTTCTTCCAGGTTTACTCATTTGACTGTTTGCGAGAGACCTCAGTTCCTTGCCTTGTGAGCCTCCTCTTAGTGACAACTCACAGTATGACTTCCTCCAGAGTGAGTGATGAGAGAAAAAGAGACAGGACAGAGTGGTAGAGGGAGGGAGATGACAGCGAGCACCAATGTTCAAAGTATCCAGGGTAGAAACCACATTTTTTTATAACCTTATCTTGGAAGTGACATACACTTCTGCAGTATTCTATTATTAATCACACAAACGACCCCTGATACTCGTGGAAGGGACTACACAGCAGTATGAAACCAGGAGGTGGGAGTGGGAATCGCTGAGGACCATCTTGAAACTGGCTACCACAAAGAACTTGTTAAACTTTTGAATTACTTGAAAAGTAAAGAGATAGGGCGAAAATAAGTTATTTCTGTCTTCTTGGGGGCAGTAGACACCACTTCTATGTGGCAACATATTTTCTCTTCTAGCCAAACATTTGTTAGTTGCCTGAACTTTGAAATCATTTGAGTTTATAATCCCTGGTCTAAATCTTTAGTTAACTCATTTGCTTTTATGTAGTTGTGACAATTTACGCAAGTAATCTGGAAGGCTCATTAGCTAATCAGCAGCTGAGTAACATTTTCTTTGTCTCTCTCTCTCTCTCTCGTTTATCTTATTTATTTGTTTGGTTTTTGCCATGTCCTTTGGTCTCACACATAGGTTTATTCTCAATATAAATTAACAAAAACTGAGTAGATGAATAAAGTAGCATTGTCTATTCTGCTTTAAACTTAGCTCTAAACTCAATTCTAAAGTATAGCCCTAATCACATGATATGAGTCTTATCATGTTTCTGTTCTTTTTTGATAAATTTAATTATTTTGAATTTATAAGGTGATATTAGTCAATAAATTGCAGAGCAATTAACCAAAATACCTAAAAGTAAATCCAGTATCTCCTTTTCAAACATAATACAAAGCAAAATTAGGTTTGAGGAAAGGTTGAGTGGAGAGGAATGTTCACAGAAGTTTTCAGAGATTCCCGGAAGTAATAATCAAGAAATGGTATAAATTGGGAATCCTTACAGATAACATGAAAAGTTCTTGTTTTGATATAAACTACTTTAGTTAGGTTACATTTGCTCATACTGTTTATTCTGGACCAAAATATATCACATGGACTTATAAATTATGTACTTATTTTCCTAGTTAATAATTTTATATTAACCTAGTTAATATTTTTACTTGACATTTTATGATTTAAATAAAATACAAGTTCTCAGTCTACATCTTTTTGTTTCTCTTGTTATTTTCACTATAACCTAAGATAACAGTGTATTAATGTTAGCTGTTAAAATGCCAAGTACAGGAGTTCAGTATTTTATCTACAAGCTCATATAACCTTAAAATACTCTTGTGAGCAAGCCTTGTTATGATTTTCAAGGTTCTGTTATCATTTCTATTTTCATGAGCAGAGAAACTAAGGCCTGGAAGGAATGTATAACTAGCCTAAGTTCATAAAGATGGTTAAGATTCCAATCTATAACTAAGTCTTTCTTTTTTTATTAAAATGTTGATGTACAGTATTACTTTAGTTTCAGGTTTTCTACAGAGTGATTTAACATTTGCATACATAATGAAATGATAACCACAGTAAGTCTAGAACCGTCTGTTCCCATAAAAGTTATTACATTATTATTGACCATATTCCTTATGCTGTGTATTCTCACTTATATGTGGAATCTAAGAAACAAAACAAAGTAAACTAATTTAAAACAGACTCAATGTTAGAACAAACAGGTGGTTGCCAGAGAAGCGGGGGCATTGAGGGGATGAAACAGGTGAAGGTGGAGATTAAGAGGTACAAACCTCCAGTTATAAAACAAGCTGTGAAGATGTAATATACAGTTGGCCCTTGAACAGCATGGGAGTTAGGGGTACTGACCCTCTGCACAGTCAAAAATGTGAGTCAAACTTTACAGTGGACCTGCTGTATTTGAGGTTCTGCATCTGTGGATTCAACCAGTCATGGATTGTGTAGTACTGTAGTACATATTTATTGGGGGAAAAAATCCACATTAAGTGTACCCCCGCGGTTCAAACCCATGTTGTTCAAGCATCAACTGTATAGCCAAGTCTTTCTAATTCCCCCCAAAAATAGTGCCTCTCTTCCCTACTGGAATCTAAATGAAGAATAAATGTGAAGCCTAAAATGTTATTTTTTTTATAGGCCCTTCTCAGATGTTTTTTTCAGAATTCAAAATTTTTTGTTTTGAAAGAGGTAATATAATAGAGGTGTTTATTATGTAATATCTCTAACAGGTCCAAAACAGCACCCTGTGATCAAATATGTTGATATTTCTGCAGGACCATAAACAGATTCATGTTGGCTTAGGTCACATTTTGCTACCAAATGTGGTGGTCATGGTATGGAGGGAGTTTGTTGCCTTTCCTTACCTCTAAATAGTATCTTTTCTAACCTCCTAGCATATTGGAATCATGTATCTATAAAAATAGTTGTTTTTGCCCCTAGTGAAGTACTTGCCTTCAGATCTCTTAGACAAGTGCTGTAGCTCATACTGAACCCCAAAACTAAGGAGACTTACCCGTTCAATCTCAGACAGCCCTGGATCAGGGCAGCCTATTCACGTAACACTGATCTGCCTGGGTAAGAGTTGAGGCTTTTAAGGAGCAAAGAACTAGTATCTCTAGAAGTAGGCCCACTTGTAAGAGGAAGTAGTATGGAGCCAGACCAAGTATGCTTAGTCATCCTTCCCGGTTTACCAGTCCTTCTACCTCTGAAGGAGCAAAGTAAATAAAGGATTAGAGTGAGGCCAGAAGTGTGTGTGTGAAAAAGCCACCACCACCACCCCCGCAATACCAAAACTCTATCACTGTGATACTGTGTTTGTAAGTGGTCTGTTCTTATTCCATACCTCTTAACTATAAAACCATTGAGTTGTTTTTACCTCTTGTACAAGTGTGTCACTGCTGACCTTATTTTGGATATAGCTGACAAGCGTGTTTTGGGACAGGGGACTGATTAAGACTCTCAGTAATGGTACTGCTATGTTCTGTAAGGAGAAACCTAGTGAATGTATGCTGAAATATTTAGGAGTGAAATGTCATAATTCTGCAACTTACTTTCAGTAGTTCTACAAACTAAAGAAAGTAAAAAGAAGGGAATGTAGCAGAATACTAACAATTCTTGAATCTTGGTAGAGACTGTCATTGTAGTGGTCTTTATTTTTTCTTTGTGATTGAAATTTCTTGATATGAAAAGTTGAGAAACAGAGAAATCCTTGATGATATTCAGGCTGTACATGAAATGTACTGCATTTGACAGAATTGAAAAATTAATGGTACAAATAGTTAAAGAGTTTATATGTTTTCTTTAATAGTTAATGTGTGTACCAACTCTGTTAGGTTTAAAATTGCTTGATTACTTATATATTCAATTTATTTTCACATACTAATAATTTAATCTCTAGTAGAATACATTTGAATTGAAACTCTGAAAATAATTTGTTTTTATGTGTAATTCTTTATCTGTATTTCAGTTTCAGACAAAAATGTTTATTTTCAAGAAGTGATTATATACGCTAAGTTTTGGGTTGACATATTATCATAAAACTAATTAAATCTACAAGGTTTCTACTGCTAAGTCCTATTAACCAGTTTATGAACTGATTCTAAGAGAAATTATGAACTGACTCTAAGAGACTTCTGAAATCATTAATTTATAATAAAAATAAGAAAAACATTGGTATTTTGTGTTCTCTTTTTTAATTCTTATTATATTTATTTCTTCCCTAGATCTTCCTCAGAACTGTGATCCTAACATTCCCCTAGTTGCTCAGGAATTAATGAAAAAGATGATACGTCAGTTTGCAATTGAGTATATTTCAAAAAGTGGTAAAATTCAAGAGAATAGAAATGGTTCAGTTGGACCAAGTCTAATATGTAAAAGTATCCAAATGAATCAAGCAGAAAACTCGCTTCAGGAAGAACAGGAAGGCCCCTTAGACCTCACTGTGAATCGAATCCAAGAACAAAATACTCAGCAAGGTAAGAATTTTGTGTGTATGTGAGATACAGTTTTATGTTTGAATATTCTTAAATGTATATATAAACTTATATTCACAGAACAGTTTATTTTGGAAGTAATATTACTTGTAATTAGCCTCTGTAATATAAACTAGAGAGATGTGTGCTAAATTAGACCTTCTGTATTGCAATTGACTTTGTTTATAAAGAGAAAATGAGAGTTGCTCTCAGTCTCTTTTCACAATAAACTGTATGGTGAGAGAATCCTCACAAGCACCCTAAAAGCAAGGTATACAAATAAATGGATGTGTACAATGTAGAAGTATTCTTATAATGACCAGCTGAGAACATTGATGAAGCACTTGCTGTGCAATTTTTTGCCCTTAGGTGAAAAATAAGAAGAAATAGATGATTTATCTTTAATTGTTTATGATGTAACTAAGGAGAGAGAAAAGTTAATACATGTGATAATTTTATTATAATCATGATACAGTTTTCATAAGAAACCTGAATGATGAAGCTATGTTGGTCTTATCTAATGGCTAATTGAAGGAAGAGCTATGATTCTCCGAGGAAAAGGAAGGAAAAGCCTGTTGGTGCTTGTGGAGGATGCCAAACAAGTGTTTGCTTGGAGAAAAGTGAACAAGTAGCTCTTGTTAACCCAAGTTAGGGATATTGTTGAAAGTCCTTGATGCCAGAAAAATATCAGCGTTAAGTTTGATTGCAGAAGGCAATGTGGTGTTTGAAGCTCTAAAGAAGAATACACTAGTCAGTATTTAAAGAAGGTGATCTTTTCAGTGTGTGAGACAGATCAAAACTGAGAGGAGCTAAAATACGGAAGTAATTTTCTCTTTCTGCTTTCCTAACTTTCAGTTGAATGAGTTTATTTATGTGGAAGGATATGAGAAATACTGAGATAATTAGATGTGTTATAAGACATATTAAAGATGATTATAATAAATGCTTAAGGACATGATATATCAGTACATTGAATTTTGGAAGTTAGAAAGCATAGGATTTTCAGAATTTTTGTTTGTCTTACTTTTCCATGTTTTACACTCTCTTATAGCTCTTCTTTTTTGTGGGAGGCAGTTCAGTGTTCTAAAGAGGACTAAAACATAGGCCTTGGTATCTGTGACAGACTTGGGGTTGAAATCTTAGCTCTGCTACTTAAGTTACATGAACAATTAACTTTACCTATCTGAGCTTTAATTTCCTCACTTGTTATTTTGCAATAATAATTATACACTCATTGGAGCAATGTGAAAGTTAAATGTGAAATAACCAACTCATAAAAGATACCCAAACATTAGTCTCTCTATTCTCTCTACCTCATGTTTCTTACCACCAGAGAAGAGAAGCATTGGAAACAACATGGTAGTTATCTGTAAATATCTGTATGGCTGTTACACTAAAGTAGGACTGAACTTTCTCTGAGTGGCTCAATGAATAGAATTAGGATCACTAGCTATAAGTTAGGTGAAAACAGATTTCAGGTCCATGTAAGAAAGACTATCTCTAAGGCTCAGACTTTTTTTTAAAGGGGAAGGGGGAAAATGATTTCCTGGTTGCCTAATCATTAGAGACATTCAAAACTGTCAGATGAATAGTTGGAATAGATGATATTTTAAAAGTAAATTTCCAGTCCTTACGTTCAGTGATTCTATGAACTTGAGTGATAAGGCAGACCCAAGTAAATATAGAAAATAAGCAATGTAATTACTATTTTAATTATTGTATATTCTAGGCATAAATGCATATGTGAACATTTGGAGGTTGAAAGAGTAATGGTGGTGGATATAGATCTATGCTTTAAATAGTCTTCTTGATTATTTTAATTTTGGGAGTGATTTCTTGTCTCATGAGATTACAGTGTTCTTTCTTCATGACAGGATTCATTTAGCTTAATGTGGCTTCTGATGTAGAGAGCAAAGGAGAGAGTGGTAATAGATAAGACAAAAGAAACAGGTGAGGATAAGATTACGAGAAAGCCATATAGGAAATATTAAGGATTTTGACTTTTCTTAGTGCCATAGAAAGCTGCTAGATTGCTTTAAGCAAAGAGTCATAAAATCACATTTTCTTTTATAAAACTGTTCTGCTGTGGTATATAGATTGGTAAGCTCAAACTTTGCCTACTTGCGTACCAAATTTTTTTTTAATGCAGTACATAACCTTGCATGTGTATACATATATACACTAATACTTTATATGTATTAATCCTTTCACAAATTAAAAAATTTAAGGTTGACATAAAGACATTATAAGCAATTGTTAAATGTCTTGCTAATCATGATGACCTTATCTTATTTACACATATAGACTTTGGAGAGTTTCATTAGTCATAGTAGAAGGTATAAATCCATATTTCAAATGGTTTCTTTCAGAACTAAAAAAGTTTTTGGACTGACTTCACTGTTCTTACCTTTTAGTATAATTAATAAAGTGCTCATACTAGTAGTAGCAAGATTAGTTCTGTTTTTGTAACTTGCTAGTGCTTATATTTTTCGTATTATTCTCACTCTGTAATTTCATAACTGTACTCCTTTATTTGTTCATTAGTGAGTTATTTTAACAAATTAGATAATATAAACTATAAACTGTAGATAATCTAAACCATAAACCATGTGGATACTTTATGAATTGTCTGACTTATAACTATAAAATTTAATCCCAAATGGTTTTAAGATAACCTTATATAATCTTTAAGCAATAGATAATTCTTATCTCTTACAGACTATTTTAAAGGCTAGAGAAGAGAAAAAATACTGATGTAATCGTGATACCAAAACAAGGCACAGATGGCAAAAGAAAGAAAAGTTGCAAACTAGTCTTATTTACAAACCTAGGTGCAAAAATTCTAACTAAATATTAGCAAATTAAATATAGGGAAATATAAAACCATTATAAATAATGACTAGGGAGGCACAGATGATTCTGCATTTGAAAAACCTTTATGATTTAACACATTACAAAAAAAAGAAAAAGAAAAACCATATTATCCTAATAGATACAGAAAAAATTTACAGAAGCTGACACATTTATGATTTTTAAAAAGGCTTTTCACAACCAAAAATAGATGAGCACTTCTGTTATGAGGGACATCATAACCAAACGATTCAGAGTAATAGATGTGACAAAAATACATACTATCACCAATTTTCAACATTTTATGAGAGGCTTTGACTCGTATAATATGAGAAAATAGAAGTATTAAAATAAGCAATAGATTAAAGGGAAAGAATGAGCAAAACTGTGGTTGCTTACAAACAGTATAATTGTGTATATAGAAAATATGAAAGAAAATCTACATAAAGTTTTATAACTGATGAAAGTGTTCCAAAAAGGTACTACTCATAATTATATATTACAACATGTCAGCTATTATCCAGTTAGAAAATCCAGTTTATAAATAATTCCTTCCGCAATAGCAAAAAAAAAAAAAAGACAGGAAAAACATTAAAACGCCTCAGACTGAAACTAATAAACTGTTTTAGACCTTGTGGAGAACACTACAAAACTTTATTGAAGGACATAAAAGAACGCTCCCAAAATGAGTGATTGTATTTTAAATGAATGGGAAACCTTTAAGAGATAGCAGTTCATCTTTAATGTACTTTTAAAATTCAGTGTCACTCCAGTCAAAATTCTGGTAGGGTTTATTATGAAAAATGACTTGCCAGTCCTAAAATTTATGAGCAATACTTAAAGAGCCAAGAATTACCAAGTCAAGGTGGTGAAGGACTTCTCTAAAACATATCAGGACTTAGTGTAATAATTCAAACAAGGTACTATGGGCCATATACAAATCACTAGGACAGATTAGCAAGCCCAGAAACTCTCCAAACATTAGTGGAATCTTGGTAAAGGACAGAGGGATGTCATTGTAAATCACTGGGACAATGGCCAACTCAGTAAATAGTTCCAGGGCAATTGGTTACCCACATGGAGCAAAAAGATAAAAATAAAAAAGATGAATCCCTACCTCACACCACTCACAAAAGTAATTTCAGTTTGGTTAAAGTGCTAAATGTTAGAAAAGATAAGGGATTATGTCTTGAGAAATTCTTCCTTAGTTTAAGTTAAGATGCAAGAATAACAACCCATATTATAATTGTGTAAATTTGACTATACTAAAATGTAAAACTTAAGTATTATAAAAGTCACTGTGAGCATAAAATTGAAGCCTTACATTTGGAGACAGTATTTATGGTTGATGTAACTAACAACCATTCATCTAACCAACAAAACTATAGCCAATGTGGAAAACACAACTGTGTAGGAAAATAGGCAAAAATAGTTCAGAAGATAATAGAAAAGGCAAATAAGCAAACAAAAAGATGCTCAAAAGAATATCCAGCCCAGCTTTCATCCCAGTATAGGGTTCTTTTATTCTGTTGTATATAACAGAATAAAAGAGATGGTAATTAAACCTCTGACTGTAAGTACTTAGAAAAAACTGTTTGACAGCTCTGACAATTAAGCTCATATCTCAGAAACATCCACCCTTCATTTTATATTTTTTCCATCTCCAACAATATTTTACCTAATAGTACTGTCAATATTTGTAGAAATTATATCTCCACGTCTTCTCTTTTCCATGCTAATCTTTAGGGTTTGTGGGTTTCTCTTCCATCTCAACACTATGAGAAAATTTATTCCTTTTACTTATTAGTGCTGTAAATATTCGTTGAAACTGTTTTGTCTCTTTAAACCTCTACTTTCCATGCAAACTGTTACAGCTTCTCTAAATGTTCTTCATAAATCAATTTTCATACTCTGCAGTTTCCTTATCCTCTCTTCCACAAACTCTAGACTGACTTAAGATATTGTTACCCTGAAGGAAACATTCCTATTTGCCATTCCATTGTACTTTCTAGCCAAGTGCTTCAAATATTAGAGATACGTCTTTGTGCATTTTCATTATGCAGATTTGTATAAATACTCTGAGCCTCAAAAACTGGGAGAAAGTAAGTCATGCATTTTTTTGTCCTGGAATACTAACTTAAAAGACATGCAGA